CTGGCGAGGCGAGGCGCGGCGCTCTGTGGAGCGTGCGCCGCCAGGGGAGGGAGGAACCGGAACTGGAACTGGTCGCGGGGTGGCAATGCTCACCGGCATCTGAACTTGGCGGTGCCGCGTGCTGACTTTTGTCGGTGGCGACGTCGCTAAGCTCAAACGCGTGCTCTGGGAAACCCGTTCGCGGAAACAACTTCCTCGCCGGAGCGTGCCGTAGACGCGGAGCGGAAAAGGATGCGGCCGCGGCGGCAGAGGCGGACGGAACGTATGGAAAATCGACTATCGGCCTCTGGGTTTCCACGAGGGCCTGAAGACGGCTGAGATGGCTGCAAAACGGCCAAGTAAGGCCCCAAGACGGCTCCCAAGTGGCCCCGAGGCGAGCCGCTCCCAGCCCAAACGTTGACCAGGCCCCTCCGTCCACCCTCCGCAGGTGCGACTCGTGGCGTGACCGGCACCCTCCCCCCCTCCGTACCGCCAGGGAGGGAATCAACCAATAGGCCCCCAGTAGGCCCCCAAGAGGCACCAGTAGGCCCGCAGGAGTTCCCCAAGAAGATTGCAGCAAACACTCCACCGAAGTCACCAACGCGCGTGCTCTCCACAGCCTGGACGTGCACCCCGCGAATCGAGAGGAATAACAAGTCGGCATCAGCTCAAACGTTCGGAGGCCCGGGCGAATTCCTTGGATCGGCGTGGACCCCTCCCCCTGGCGCGCGGAGCGCACCAGGGGCGGCGCCAGAGCGGCCGCCAGGGGGGGGGGGCCAACCGCCGACCCCGGAAACCCGCTCGGAGATCCGAAAGGTTTGTTCCTGCCGGCTGCCTCCTCGATCAAAAGGCGGCAGACGCCCGGGTCCTCATCATCTCCCCTCCTTCGCCACCCCCCTGAGCTCGTCGTGCCCGCCAGTTTTGGCACGGCGTGGCGCCTCCCTCCTCGACGCGAGGCCTCGGCAGGCCCGAGAGGGGCCAGGAGAGCTCCCACGCCTCTTGAAGCCCTACGACGAGAGAACAATCCTGCCTCCCTGCCCGCAGCAGCGAGAGAAAGGGCCCCGGTGGAAACGGATCCTGGACCCCTGGCCTGTTCCCTGGGACGGGCGTTTCCTTGAGAATCGTTGTCTTGAGCATCGCGGTCCTGGGAAGGGCCCTGGGGGCCCAGAAGCGGCGAAGAATTCCAGGACTGCTTTCATCCATGACCTTTTGTCTGCATGGCGGCCCCGCAGAATCTCAAACATCATTCTGCGGTTGCGACGAGAAGCTCTGCAGATACCCACAGAAAGCCAGAAACACACCAAGAACACGGTTTCTCGTCTGGGTAAGCCCACGAGTCCAGCATGGCGATCTCCACCAGAGCCATCGGAGACCCCTACATCCGCTCAACGCCTGTATCTTGACCCAGCCATGAGTCCACCCTGGCAAATCTCTCCCTAACCAGCTTGTCAGTATGGATCCTAGATCGAACTTTTCCTACGACAAGTACAAAGCTTCTCCGGTCCCCATGTCGATCGCGCCGTAACTTGGGCGCGAATTACATGGGGGCGAGAAATGGCAGGGGGGAAGAACGTGCCCTTGTCGAGCCCTGAAGGCCCCCTTCTGGGCCCGAAAGGGCTCCCCTAGGGCCCTAGAGGGCCCCTGTTATGCAGCCCTCGTTGCCCCCTTTATCGCCCCCCCACTTCTTCCTGCCCAAGGATTGGGGTCGCGCAGAAGGGTAGGGGGAGGGGGGAGGGATTCTTAGAAGGAGGCTGCTTCTCACAAGGCGCCGGCCTCACATCTATAGGGGAAGCCCGCGCCTTCTAAGAAGCAGCGGTGCTTCTGAGGAGCCTTCCCCCCTCCCCCCATACCCCCCTTTTGCGCGCAGGCCCGCGCCTGCTAAGAAGCAGGGGTGCTTCTAAGAAGCCTTCCCCCCCCCCCCATTAGAGGCCTCCTGGATGGGGTCGGAGTAGATGGGGTCGAAAGATCGCGCCGCATCGCCGATACATCGGCGATGCATCGTCGATGCATTGGCGATGCATCGGCGATGTAGCAGCGATGCATCGTCGACGTCGGCGATGCATCGGCGACGCCGGCGTGAAAAACAACGGGCTCCACATCGGGCCGCATCGCTGATGCATCGGCGATGTGGCGCGATCCTCCGACACCGTCTAGGAGGCCTAGATCCCTCCCCCCATTAGAACAAGAAAAACAAACCACATCAACATAAACTTCTGGCGCTCCGCGCGGATTTCTTGGATTCGCGCTGGACCCCCCTCCCTGGCGCGCGGAGCGCGCCAGGGGCGGCGCCGGAGGCGGCGCCGGGAGGTCCAGGCGCGGCTCCAAGAAATCCGCGAGGAGCGCCAAAAGTTATGTGCCTTCTTCTTCGTTGACCCACTACCCCTGGCAATCGCTTGGACGTCTATTCCCTATTCCATTGTGTTGTTTGCGGTTTCGTGCGTGTTTTTTTCGGTTTCGTGCGCGGTTTCCTCGCAGGATGATCCAGGACACTCCTTTATAATCCCCGCAGAGGAGAAAACACACACACAAACACAAACACAAACACAAACACAAACACAAACACAAACACACACACACACACACAAACACACACACACACACACACACGTCCGAGCGATACCAAGATCCCCCTCTGCGCGCGGCTGCATACAGTCGGACTTGATTGGGCAGGACATGCGAGAGGACACAAGACCCTTCCGAGGGCCACATTGCCGCAGGAATGTGGGAAGCATGGGTCGCGAGGCACAGGACACGAGGGCACCCTTGATTTGGCAGCGTCGACCCACTTATCTGGGCCGACTGCTCCCCCCCTCTGTGCGCGGCTGCACACAGAAGCCACGACGCCCCCGCGGGCGGTCCCGCATGGCGATCTCCGCCAGCTCCGTCGGCGGCGGCGGCGCGGCCGCTGGCCGAGGCGGCGGCTCGCGGCCCGCGGCGGCCGCGCGGCGGCCGCGGCGGGCGCCCGGGGCCGCGGCGGGGCAGGCGCCGGCTGGGGACGCGGCGGAGGAGGAGGGGGGGAGGAGGAGGGGAGGAGAGAGGAGGAGGAGGAGGAGGAGGAGGCGGAGGAGGAGGGGGAGGAGGGGAAGGAGGAGGAGGAGGAGGAAGGAGGAGGGGAGGAGGAGGAGGAGGAGGAGGAGGAGGGGGAGGAGGGGGAGGAAGATGAACGAGCCTCAGGAGGAGCGGTGCCGCTTCTCCCCGCACGCCCGCGCGCCACGCGCCCCACGTGCGGAGGAGGAGGAGGAGCAGCAGGAGGAACAGATGCGGGAGCGCCTGCCTCCCCTTCCCGCCTCCCCCCTCCCGCGCGGGGGGGAGGGAGGAGGAGGGAGGAGGGGAGGAGGGAGGAGGGAGGGGGAGGAGGGAGAAGGAGAGGAGGAGGAGGAGGAGGAGAGGGAGGAGGAGGAGGAGGAGGAGAGGAGGAGGAGGAAGGAGGAGGAGGAGGAGGAGGAGGAGGAGGAGGAGGGGAGGAGGAGGAGGGAGGAGGAGGAGGGAGGAGGGGAGGAGGGGGAGGAGGAGGGAGGGGGGGAGGAGGAGGAGGAGGAGGAGGAGGAGGAGATGAAGGAGAAGGAGGAGGGGGAGGAGGGGGAGGAGGAGGAGGAGGAGGAGGAGGAGGAAATCACAAAATAATCACAAATTTCGTTACACCAGCTCCTCTTCGGACGGTTCGGGTGGGGCCGAGGTTAACAAGGGGTTATGTGCTTGCAGCCGACCCCAAACAGAAAACACACATCCTGAAAGAATACGAGACCATCCGCCGGCCAAAACATACAGAAGAGCTTGGGGTACTACTCTCTCTGGAATGCAACGGAACATCCAACAGGCACGAAGAACATGAGGGTACCCTCCCCGAGCCGACCTCGACAGTCGGATTTGGCGCGTTGGAGGCGAATAGCCAATCGCCCGCAGAGCGGCTGATTGTCAGACTCTGGTGCCTCCGTGAAGGCATGGTAAGCGCGTTGGAGGCGAGTAGCCAATCGCCCGCAGAACGGCTGGTTTTCAGACTCCGGTGCCTCCGTCAAGGCATGGATTTGGGCCCAGCTCAGGCATAGGCCAGCCTGGGGCGCCCTGGCCGAGCTGAAGGGCGGCTGCGGTGGGAGGACGTGGGGAAGGTCTGGGTCGGACAAAGGGGGGAGGAGGGAGAGGTAGCTGGTTTTCCTGTCGCCTCCTGGCGCTGGGAAGCGCCAGCGCATCGAAGAAAGGGCGCCTGACGGCGGGGAAGAAACGGCCGGCACGCACTGCGTGAAGGCGTTAGGGGGGGTAAGCGTATCTGCTGAGCAGATGCGCTTACTCCCCCCTAGCGAAGAGCAGAAAGAAGGGCGGCAGGAAAATGGGTCGTGTGGGGAAAAGGTAGAAGGGGGTGGCAAAAGGGAGGCAGGATAACCTTTTTTACACCTACTGAACGCGAAAGACGGGGGCTGATGCGTCGGAGAAAAAATATAAGACGAGGGTGCCGTCCCGATCGACTGTGACCCAAGCGCGCTTCGGGTGGCGTACTTTGCAGGGTCTGGGCCAAACTTCGAAAGGAGCTCTGGGACACACACACACACATGTATGTATGTGTAGATGTGTATATATATACATATATATACATATGTATACGTACATATATATGTGTGTACATATATGTTGTCCCCTCTTCCCACCACTTCCCATATTTACCCATACGTTCTGGGGAAGCGATGGTTAATTGTGTCTGTGTGTTTGTGTTCCCTCCTGGACTTCATACCTTCAAGCGTTGCGATAGGACCCGGACTTATCTACTGGGTCCCCAGCCTGAGGAGCGGGTCGGGCCCGACAAGGGACTCCCAAGCCGCGCATCTGACCACCCCGACGTGTAAAAGAAAACATGTCTGAGAAAATAACGCTGACAACTAGTTGCTGACCTTGACGTCATGTTATGTCTCCCCTCTCCACTCCACCCCTCCTCCTTCCTCTCACTTACTGTTAACTCATGTTCGGCTCCACCCAGAGCCTCGGTTTTCTGGCACCACTGCCCGGCCCGCTCGTCTTAGACGATTTGCGGC